TGTTGCCTGCGCAACCACCCTCACATTCTCATTTCTGACCCTATCCAACCGGATCCAGTTATACCCCTTTATCAGCGCCGTCATTTCAGCTTCGCTGGAGCTGCTTCTCATGGCTCGTCCACGCGGGCCAGCATTCGCTGGACTATCCCGCACCCTACCACCTTCCTACAGTATGTAGCCGAGGCACGTCATCCCTTGCACCGCCAGTGGCAGAGATACCAGGGAACTCCATCCTCATCCATGTCGCGCTTATTCAAGCTTCGACTAGTTGGTCTACGCTACTGTTAGAGGCTAAACCGTGTGGTCTACGCTACCGTCAGAGACCCGAGATACAGGGATGCCTTGGATGCCTTTAATCCCTTAGTGGTTTTTCTGTGGCGTTCTACGACCGGTTTGGAATTCGGGAACTCAGTCTCATACGCTTACTAATTGGTGGGGTGCCTACTAAACCTGGTATTAGACCCATGGAGAATAAGAAAAACTGGTGCAATCGCAACAATGCGCAATGGACTTGTCTTCTATAAGATTGCCGCAATGAATTCAAGCTGGTTTCTGTTTGGCATCGACGTCTCTGCCCACATCTTATAGCGGATCTTATGTTATTATGGGTAGAAAGCGCAGTTCGGCGACGAGGCGACGAGAAGGGGAAGGGGTGGAGAGGGGGGGGGGCATTTTGCACTTTCATTGCTTCACTAGTTCCGGTTTACAAGTCTCACTCTGGCGAAACCTGTGAACTCTTGTGAAGCTGGAGCAAGGTCGTCAAGCCATCATGGTAAAACCTGTCAACTCGAGAAGAGGCTGTCTAGATAGGTCGACACGTCGATGGGAAGTAGCAAAGTGCAAAATGCCCCACCCCCAACCGTCGCCGAACTGCGCCTGGCTAGAGCGCTGGGTAGGGCGGAGAGTTTGTGAAGGTTGGAAGGACCAATAAGAGCAACAGCTTCAGCGCTCTGGTCGCTCTGTTTTGCGCAGCGAAAATGGTGCCAAAATAGTGCCGCTCGCATTGTATTACCGAGCTATAGTGTCGGAGAGAGAGGCTTCTCAGCTCATTTCGGAGCGTGCCTTCAGAAGTTTAACGTTGTTCTTTTTGAAGGATATCATGCGACTGGACAACGATGAGGAGAATATGGAGCAAATCAAAAGGTTGATCGAAGAAATCAAGCGAGAGAAACAACTGATGCGCGATGAGGCGCATATCATTCGTGGAGAACTTTCACAGGCAATGTACAATGAGGATCTCAGGTGAGCTCGATATGTTTGCACTTCTATCTCTTACTGCAGTCCATTTCACGGAAAAGGTGGATTTTTGAAAAGGTATGGCTCGGTTTTTATCAAGACGTTCTCGAGATGCGCTACGCAGACGACTTGCACTCGAAACTCGAAGGCATTTGAATGTGCATTTACTTATCTAAACTCTCAACTTATGAGGGCTACCTGGCACGTGAATTTTTTAGTCTTCTGATGCTTTTGTAGTGCCAGTTATTCAAGCTGGTTGCGATGGCCTTGATCCATATGACAATCGAGCGTGCGGTTGCGTAGCGGCAACTCTTGCACATGGGACAACTTCCTTAGACACGGCGGTTTTCAGTTTTCAGACAACCCCTTG